TTGCTCGACGATGACTTGAGGCACAGGGGTGGGACCGGATTGCACACCTTTAGACACGCTGCTCAACCAGATGCTCAGGGACGTTGACACAAAGTGACTAATCAAGAAGGATACAGGGGGAGGGGGGATTCCGGTAACTGTTCGCAGTGGCAATCAACAGACAATCTGCCATCAAGCATACATCTCCAACAGGAAATGTTATTTTCTGTTTTGATTATCTAGTTGTTACGGACTTCCTGACAACTGACAGACAGCTACAGATAGACTAGACCTTTGCTGTATTGCAATCTGTTCCAGGGTAATCTAAAAATAGATGTAATATATCCTGTAGGACCTGACATTAGTTGTAATTATATCACCTAACTGTAATTATATCACCTAACTGTTTTGTCCCATCCGACCGAAAGTAATTGTGTTTCATAATCGGTTGTGTGTCAAGCTAAGGTAGGATTCAGTGTGGATTCTAGTTTAGATCACACACACTGTAGCTCATGAGTGATGCAAGCACAAGTGAGGAGGAGTCACTAGTGGACGACCGTAGGACTACTCGCGAGACTGCCCGTTGTCGACCCTTGACATTCTTGGAGTTAGGTCCAGGAGACGAGAGAAGATTGAGGAGAGAGGCTAGAGAAAGGGCAGCGGCAAGGAGAGCGAGGGCAGCTGAGGAGAGTGCTAGAGCTAGAATTACAGCTAGCATCAGTACAGCCATGGATACCTCATCTATGATGCAACCCTCTACACAGCCCACTTCGTCAGGAGTCAGTCAGAGTGGTGCTCAGGCGGTCACTAGTCAGATTGGTCATGTGCGAGTCAGCCAATCTCCTATCACGCCGGAGGACTTGGAAATTCGGCAAGCAGAAGAACTTCAGGATGAGCTACAGCGGCAGATGGACGAAGTAGTAGAAAGGAGAAGAAAAGCTATGCAACGAAAAGCTAGACTAGAGAGTAGATTGCAGGAGTTAGGCAGACTGGAAAGACTAGATGAGGCAACATTAGACCATGTTGTTCGTGTGCTGCGAGGCGCCTTACTTTCAATGGCGGAATCGCAAAGCGTTCAACAGGAATTATTGGCTGATTTGGTAGCAGGCCAGAAACAAATTCTGGCTGAACTTAGGGGCATTCGCCCAACGGCGAGGCCGCCACAGTTTGTTGTAGTTCCCCCTGTAGGTGCGGGTCCATCATCGATGCCGCAACGCACAGGGCAAACTTTCTCTCCCATGTTTGGCATGCCCTCCCCGGGTGGTTTAGGTGCAACTAGTGGTCCGGTTCATTCAGTCTCAGCCGTACCGTCTACAACAGTGGTCACTACAGTCCCACTGTCCAGCCAGGCCCAGGTTAGTTTGCAACAGCCTGTTTCAGTGGCTATGCAGCCGCTGCATCAAGCACCTGGGCCCATGCAACCGATGCAGTGGATGCCCAAGATACCTCTAATGAGTCCCAAGCCTTTCTCTGGAGACAAGAAGAGGGAGGAAGACTTGGACACCTGGGTGAGGACTGTGCCTACTTATGTGAGGCACAAGCTCACAAGGCCAGAACAGGAAGTGGTAATGGCTGCCTCCTTTTTAGAAGGATCAGCAGCCTGCTGGTTGAATGGCTTGGTCCAGCAACAGGGCTACGGTCAAGATTTCGATGCCTGGGCTCAGTCTCAGACATTGGAACAGTTCGTACGATCCGTCTACAACAGGTGGAATGACCCGCAAGGGGCTCAAAAGGCCACCGATGCTATCAACAACCTTTGTTCTCGTAGGTTCAAGGATGTTATAGAGCTTACAGACACCGTAGAACGCCTTCTCGTGGTACCTGGTGTGCGTTTTGACCCGCAGGTTCTCCTAACGGATTACCTAAGGTGCCTACCTACAGAGGTAAGGACCAAGCTGGTTGATGAGGCCTATATCGACCAGCACACTTTTGCTTCTTTTAGTAAGAAAGCACTGCACATAGAGGCAAAGCTAGGATCTGCGCATAAGGCATCCAATGATGGTAGGAAGAGACTGCCCCAAGATTGGAAGAAAAAGGGTCAGTTAATGTTCGTTGACCACAATGGTCAAACGACGGAGATTGACGACTACTTAGATCTTGGGGAGTTCACAGAGCACGATGGGGGTGGTGAGACTTCAGATGGTGGAGTCGTGGCACCCATCAAAGAAAAGGCTAGGGGGACCGGGAAGAAGAAGGTAGTACGGTCCACGGGTCAGGGCGACCAAGGAACACCCGCATGGGTGAAGATTGGTTTAGAATACGAGGTGTGGCGTGACCGCGTTGCTAGGGGTACATGCATGAACTGTGGCAACTTTGGCCACACGTCCAGGACTTGCCGCGGCAAGAAAGTCACAACGAAGGTAGCCTCCCCAACGGTGGTGGGCTTACCTTCGAACCCTGGGAGTGCTTCTGCGAGCAGCTCACAGGGAAACACCTCGGGCCAGTAGGAGTGTTAGCCGCTCTTACTCGCGCTGAAGTGGTAACGTTGCCTTCCCCACTTCAGGCGTTGGCCAAGGCTAGTGACCCACGTATCGCCCCGCAGACACATACAGACCCACCGACGCTCTGTTCGAAAGATGTGTCTGAGGCCCTAGAAGAGTTAGAGACTGAGAGGGAAGGACCCCAAGGACTCTTGGGCGATGATGAGTGGAGGTCCAAAGGGTGAACATTTCGTGGTTGAAGTAGATGTAGGTGGCCGCAAGATTGGCGCCTTCGCAGACACAGGCTCTACACGAAATTTCATCAGTCGTGCTTGTGTGGATAGACTGCGCTTAGGGGACCAAGTGCAGCGCCTTAGCAGAACTGTAGCTTCTACGCTAGCCTACAAGCACAAGATGGTAGTAAAAGACTATGTCAAGGACATAGCCTGTTCCTTCTCCTATGGAGGAGGGGAAGTGATCCACAAGATCTCCTTCCTGGTTAGCGACGAACTTCC